CCGCCTGCTCGGCTTGGGCATCGGAAGAGGCGGGAGTGCGGATGGCTCTCGTCGAGTAGCAGGACACCGCTGAGGTTCAGGCTGGAGGAGGGGCGGAGCCCCTTTGGGCGCTAGAGCCGGGAAGGGTCGGGCCAGTGTTCTGTCAGGCCCCGAGAGTGAGGTGGGGAGCGCCCTGGGCCTGCAGGTGGGACTCCTCCACCTCGGAGATTGCTAGTGTGATTTCAAGGGTCTCAAGGAGAGGGCCAGACCCTCCAGCACTGGGTGGAGAGTGTGACCCACACACCAAGCAACAGACACCGGGGATACGTGGGTGGCTGGCACACTGTCACTTGGACGCAGCCTCACTCAGGACAGTGTTACCCTGATGTACAGCCACCTTCTACTGCGGATCAGTGGACAGCAGCCTGATTCTAGCCAGCTTCATTCTCCTGACTGTCCAACCCATCCTCTCCTGGACAGCAATGCCTGACACAGCACATCTGGTCAGTGCCCCCTGGACTCTTAGCTTCACTTTGAACAGTGACGCCGAGTCCGCTTAGCCCTCACGTGGCCCCATCACAGGCAGTCATCCCGACAGCAGTGTCTCTCTGGACAGTGTCAACTCCACCTACGTCAGACTCTGCAGCCCACCTTCCCAGAGTGTCGCCTGGCCAGGTCTCACTCGGTACAGACAGCTCTTCACTCGCTGTCCCTGTCACCAGGACCCACCCGCTGAGCCGGGTCTAAAGTGCAGGGGCTGGAACCAGCAGCTTCTTACATCCCGGCCTTGGGGAGGCAGCAGCTGGAGGCATCACTTAACCACACAGTGTCCAGGGTGTCACCCAGCTCGTTTATAAAATAAAATGTGTAATCCTGGGCTTTAGAAGTCTGGGGATCCAGGTGTGAGGTGTAGGTTGGGAATTGGGGTGCCTTCTTCCTGAGAGGGATCTGGGGACATCTGGGTCTGCAGGGGGGTCTGTGGTGGAGGAGGGTCGCTCAGGGGTCTCGTTGTATGGACAGGCACATGGAGGCTTCTATGGAAGCAGCAGTTCGCCCAGGCTGCCCCTCCTCCACCCAGCTACACAGGGCCAAGATCAGTCTGTGTGATGTAGGTGGAGTTTATTGCAGGAAGAGGGTCTTGTCTGCATCCTAGGGCCCCCTTCAGAGCCATAAGCTGAGCCCCAGGCCCAGCAGAGCCCCAAACCCTCGGCCCAGGTTGGGGGCTGCTGCCTGGATGGAGGTGTTGGGGGAGGCTGAGACCCTGCGCCCACCGAGAGGCTGCTGCGGCTGGAAGTTCTCCCTTAGCGGCGCCGGGTGCAAACAGGGGCCTGGGCCAGGGTCTGGAACTGGGCCACCTGAGGGTACAGGGCAGAGGCAGTTAGGACACGCTGTGCAGGAGGGTGGCAGGTGGGTGGAGGGGGTTTGGGGGGCAGGGCAGGGTGGCGGCCGCACCTCTGCACGCCCAGTGGGGACAGTGTCCTCAAAGATGGTCCAGAGCACCGCAAGCTTGCAGCAAGGCATGGTCAGCGACCCCTGATAGCGGTAGGAGCAAGAGAGGCCAGAGGTGCCCGGCAGCAGTGAGGCCAGTGGGAAAGTGGACGCCAGCTTCATGGAGGCCCCTGGGTGGGGGATGGGCAGCAGGTTGGAAGCAGCTTCCTTGTGCCTAGACACCCCCGCCCTGGCTGTCCCCGTTGAGCACCTCCCACCTTGTGCTCCTCACTTTGTGCAGACATGTTCCTGAGGCCCCACACGAGGGCCGAGAAGTTGGCGTTGTCAGAATCCTGCTTCTGGGGAGGGGGCTCCGAGTGAGAGGGTATCAGAGTGGGGAGGTCTCAAAAACGGGGAACACTGAGTGGGGTGTAGGAGAGACTAAGTGGGAAGAGGGTAGGTTCCCAGTGAGGGGTGTTTGCTGAGGGGGTCACCCCCACTGAGCCCACAGAACCACCACCTCCCACTGGCCCCATCCTCCCACAGAACCCATCAAATCCTATAAACCCTTTAGAGGACCCATTACCCACCCAAGACTACACAGGCCACCTGCCCCCTCTACAGACCCCCACGGACCCCTTTCATGAATGCAAGCAGTCACCCAGCACCCGCCTCCCTGCCAGGAGTCACATGCCCCCTCCCTCACCGCCAAGAGCACGGCCAGCACTGCCAGGCCGTCAGGGTGACCTCGGGCCTCTCCAATGCTCAGGTACCGGGTGCTCATGTGGACCACGTGCATCTGGGGAGACACAGACCATGGGAGGTACCCAGCTGCCCCCAGCAGTCTCCCCCTGGCCTCCTTGGGCACTCCCACCACCCTTCCACAAGCCCAGGCCCACCTCCATGGGGTGATGCTGCCCATCCAGGCTGTGCTCTGAGCCCGCTTGCCCAGGGCCCCCCCAGTGGAAGTGCAGCTGCAGCGCTCGGTAGGCAGGTGGTGGCAGTCCGGCACCCCGCACCTCCAGGGGGCTCTGTGGGCCAGTGTCCACGCGGAGGAGCACTGAGGGAGAGGTGGGAGCACATGACATCCTCTTTCCCCCACCCAGCTGCCCCTCTCGGCCAGACTGCTTCCTTCTGGGGTTCCACAGAAGCACCATGCAGTCGGTATCTAAGCCCCTTTGTTGGTGGCCGGGTGAGGCTCCCCACACCGCAGTGGAAACCCCACCCCCTGGATTGGGGGGGAGCAGATGGCCTCCTGTGGCTGGAGTCCTGATGCACCGCAGCTACGTGACTGTGGGGGTTGTGGGGATCCCAGGGCACCTGACTTCTGGGTATGTCCTGACTTCTGGTCCTTAGGGACAACGGCTGATTGCTACTGGTAGCGGGGTCCTGACATCTTTCTAGGGGAGGTCCCCAACCCCAGGGTACTGACCTGTATGACCATCATTCTCCAGTGTCCAGGGGCCTAGAGGTGCTGAGTCATAGCCTTGGAAGATGAAGTGTCCAAGGGTCAGGTACTGCTGGACCAGGTGAAGGTCGATGTTGATAGGGGACTGGGCAGGGCCCCCACAGGCAGGGGCCATCTCCTTCCAGTGGGTGGGGCCTGAGGGAACAGGTCTGGGCTCTGTAGGGGGGCTCAGGAGGCAATATGAGGGTACACAGAGGAAGGTGGCCCTCACACATACCCAGAGAATAGTCTAGTGGCAGGAAACTCCTCCCTGCTCGGCCCCAACCTGATAGGTCATGACTGACACCCTGCCCTCCGCCAATTCTGGCCCGGTCATGATGTTTGCAACACCAAAATAGGAGCAAGCACACTCTGACATAGCCCTGGCAGGCAGTCTGACCCACGCCGAAGGGGGCTGGGAGGGTCTCCTGCCACAGGTCACACACCCACACAGGGGACCACTACCACCTGCTCACACGTGGGCCGCACCGACAGGCTTACAGATCCTGCCTGATGCCAGCAGCTTGGCACACACTGCAGGACTGGGGAAGCCAGCAGCCACAGACCCGGACACACAAGGGGACATTCACACACATGCTGCCTGCTGCTCAGTCACGGTGGCCCTGACCACAGACAGAAAACCCGCAGAGACCACAGAAGCACAGTGTGTGGACCACCACTGGCCGCACTAGCACCTGTCTGTGGCCACAGGATGCAGACTGATGCCACACAGCCTCAGGTGACACTGTCCTCACCACACTTTGCGTCCTGGGAGTCATAGCACCAGGCACCTGTGGACGATGGCAGGGGTTCAGGCAGGCTGTCTCAACCCAGGGCCGAGAATGGAAGCACAGGGCTTAGGCAGTGGGTGGCAGGCAGACCCTGCTCTCCTGTTGCCCCAGTTCTAGGAGCTCCCCAGGGCCTAAAGCGCGGAAGAGGGAATGGTGGGGCAGGAGCCCATGCTCACCTTCCCAGTCGCTGTGCACCACGAGCCCCACTGCGAGTAAGGTGAGTGCCAAGCCAGGGGACCTCATGGTGCTGCCGTCAGTGGGCCGAGGCAGCCAGCAACTGTAGAAAATTTATTAGCGTGGTGGGCTAGGGGTGGGGCTGAGTCCTGGGGGCTCACAGCTGCGTGGGAGGGGTCAGAGGGGCGGCGCCCAGACAGGGCCTCCAGCAGGGAGACAGCTGGAGCTTGCCAGGCACTCGCTCTGATCCCGGCACCCCTGCAGCTGCCAGCAACAACCACTGGCATCTACCAGAGCTACACGTTTTCACAGACTCCCCCCACCCCACTAATCCTGAGTTGGGGGGTGCTATTAACATGCCCATTCCCAGATGAGGAAACGGAGGCTGGGGACCAGGAGTGACAGGCCAAGGACACCAGGAAGGACGAAGTTCCAGGGGGAGGGCATCTTGGATCCCAGTGCTTTTGACTTGGGGGGCTGGCATGGGGAGGATGCCCAAGACCACAGCCTCCCTTCTACTGGCGCGACCCCGCGGACCAAAGGGTCCCGGAAGCTGCTACCCTCTCTGCCCAGCCCCGGTGGGGCTTCTGCAGCAGCTCGAGACCCCGGCGTCCAGCGGACCCCAGGCTGTGGCCAGAGCCCCAGTCACTCTCTTGGAAAGTGGGACTCCAATTTCCCCGCCACTCAAGTGTCCCGGAGAGAAAGTGACGCACTGGAAGGCGCTCAATGCTGGTGTCCCCAGTCCAGAGGACCTGGCCTTCCCTGAGGTGGGGCACGGGTGCTGTCCTCGGTGCTGATGGGGCCAGCCACCACCCCGCAGGTGTTCAGGAACAAGGGCCGCCTCTCCAAACCCCTACCCCAACAAAGTCCTCACCGGTGCCTGTCTTAGCCCTGACCCCTTGCCCGGCCAGCAGGCTGGGTCAGGAAGGCAGCAAGAGGACCCACCTGAAGTTGAGTCCCCTGGGCACCCTCTTGTTCCCATTTCAGGAATTGGGAAATTGAAAGGACTACAGTAAGAGAACAGAAGGGACAGGGGTCTCAGAGCCCCACGCCTGCCCCTGGCTTCCACAGGGCGCTCAACTCCTCCATGCACTCACTTCTGCACCTGTGCCTCAGTCCCAGTGTGGTTGGAACTCCCACCCCAGCTTGGGTTACACCAAGGACAGATCACACTTCTTCCAGAACACAAATTTATTTGGCATTTGGATGAAATGGTTCTCACAGCATCTTAAGAAAAGAATTAGTGCCAACCCAACCAAAAATTAACCCAAACTAAAAACCCTCAGTGAAAGGAAAACATAAAAAACAGGCATTGAGACAATGTACAGTATCGACACCCACCTCCACCAGGCAGGTCAGGTCTCGGGGCAGGAGGCCCCTCCCAAGAGCTTGCCTGTCCCTTTAGGGGTCCAGCATGCCCGTCCCTACCAGGAGCACAAAGGTCTCCACCAGGGCTGGTCTCAGGACTCATCCGACCACGGGGAACAATCAGATCTTACCAAGCACTGGCGGGGGGCGGGCTGCCTTGCTCCACCAGCTATGGAGACACAGTGGCCAGCAGGCAGGGCCTGCAGCAGCACTGCCCACAGGCCTCCTGTCCAGCCCAAGGACACCAGTGGGCTGAGCCACCCTGGACTGAACCCTGGCCAGTACAGAAACAGCCCCCCACCCCCCACAGTCTGCCTCAGGCCACCCTCAGTGCCTCCCACACACCTGACTGGCCCAGCAGTCCTTCAGTCCCCAAAAGAGGTCCTCCAGTCCCACACATTTGTGCCCTGCCCTGTACACCTGGATCTGAGGCCTGGGCCAGAGGTACAGGGGCTGGGAGGGGCCCTGAGCTGCTGCGGCCAGGCCCCCATGGGGTACAGCCTCCAAAGCAGGTGTGTTCAGGACCCTTCCCCAGCACCAACAAGGCTTGTGGCTGCTGCTCTGAGTCCAAAGCATGCTGGAGCCGCCACACGCTTCCTGCTTTGCCTTCAGCAGCCAGTGTGGGCATGTGTGCCCGGGAGACCGCTCTCCAGCACCAGCCCCTGCTCGGCATGCAGCCTGCCTGCCTGAGGCCTGTCTCCAGCACACTGGCTCCTGGAGGCCAAGCCCAGGTCTGTGGGCCACTTGAGACCCACAACCCACCCAGGGAAGAACAAAATGGTTTCCAACTGAAGATAGTGAGAATGTGCCTAGAAATGGACAGCACCACCAAGGCCTGTCACCCCAGAGCACCCACTTTGTCACCCTCTCCTTGCTGCTGGTCCAGAAAGGCTGTGAGGGGCCAGGGAAGGGCTCTGTGCTCTCAGCTGAGGGCCACACCTCAATGCCACCCAACACGCCATGGCCATCCCTGGAAGGGAGGCCCCATGGCCGAGTCCCCGGGTACCGTCACCACCTGCAAACACTTGGACAGGTACGCACATGACTCACACGCACACAAAAAAAGAAAAGATCCAGACGTTCAACGTAGAAAAGATATGGAGTGCTAAAAATCGCACAGAACCCGCTTAATCTCCAAACCTCAGAAACACTAAAAGCCCTGGGTCAGGAGACAAGACCACCACCCAGAAGCAGGCAACAGGGTCCCTCAGTCAAAAGGTCCCAAGCGGGGGGCCCCCAGCACTCCATGCTGAGGATGGGGAGGCGACATGTGACCACCGGGCATCAGCTTAGTGGTGGTGGTGGTGTGAGAAGTGGATTCCCAGGAGATGGACAGCCTGGGACGTTGGTGTCAGCCACCCCTCCTTGAAACAAACAACCCTTTATGGCACAAACAAGGTGGGGTGGGGGCAAGCCAGGCCCTGGGGCAGGTTCAGCAGGAGTGGGGGGTGTAGACATGAGCCAGCCCTGGCAGGGGTCCAGGGCCCAAGACACTCATGCGCACCCGGGGGCCATGCACAGCGGTGCTGGGGAGAAAGCCATGGGGTGGGGCCAGGGTCTCCTGGCACAGAACTAGGCTCGATGGAGCCCAGCTGGAAAGAGTGCAGAGTCCAACCTCCTTCCAAGCTCCCCTCTTCAGGCCTCGGGCACCAGAGCCACAGGCCAGCTCCCAGCCCCGGTCAGGGTACCAGGATGTTCACAGCTGGACCCAGGGGCCATCCCCACAGCAGCCCTTGTAGAGACCTCCAAGTCCATCTGCTCTGAAGCAGAGCTGCTACCTAGACCACACTGATGGTCCTCAGACACCTGCTGCCTGGGTGCACACGGTGGCCATGGGGTCCTCTGAGGGCCTACATCAGCAAACCATCCCAGGAGGGCCGGTGTGGCCCCACCTGGCCCTGCCCAAAGCCACAGTGCCTTCTCCATTCCCTATTTCTGACATCTGTGGTCTCATGAATTTTGTCATTCTTCGGCCATTTAAAAAGAAAAAGACAGTGACCCAAAGCTATGCATGTCTCCAAAGCCGGCATGGAGCCTTGGGGCAGGGGCTGGCCCCCTAAGGGCCAGCGCAGTGTAGCAGGGGCCAGGCGTGCTCAGGGGCCCTTCAAGTCTCCCACGGGGATCAAGGTTTTCTCGACAGCAAACAGGAGCTCCCCGCCCGTTGGGGCCATGAGCCGGCCATCCTCTACACCACAGTATTAAGGGAACTTCGGCTGTGCCGGCCGCCCCCCGGCAGCCCCTCTGCGGCGGGGGCACTGCCACTCTGGGCGGGGTCGGGGGGCACGAGCAGGGCACTACTGCTGTTGGCCGAGTCTTCTAGGTCTGCCAGAGAGGCCCCGGTGGCGGGCAGAGGCTGCTCCAGGTGTCGGGGTGCTGCACTGTCATCGCTGCCATCCCCTGTGGCTGATGGGGTTGCCACTGCTGGCTCAAAGGCATCATCATCTGCAGGAGGAGACAGGCGGTCAGCATGGGGCAGGTCTGGCTGGGGGTAGGGGTAGGCTGGAGGATCCTGCCTGAGTGCTCCCCACGCCGCCAAGCAGGGGCAGCTGGCCCACAGGGCTCTACTGTGCTCGTCCCATGCCTCCGCCCTGTGGCCAGCAGCACAGCTGTGTGTGGGGGACATGCTCTGACAGTCAGCAGAATCAAGGGCGGACAGGGGGAAGCCCTTTCAGACTCAGGGGTCTAGGCAGTGCATTCATGACCTCAGTGCGTTCTTGGGAAGGGGCTAGGCAGGCAGAGGAGAGCGGGTGCAGCCTTAGACCCAGAGCTGCAGCTGGACTATGGGACGACCATCACAGAGTACCAGGTTTGAGGGCGGCCAAGGCAGCCCACGCCTCATGAGAGGAGCCCTCTGAAAGTGTGGGGCTCAGGGACCCAGCTCCGCCTCCCCTGGGCACTGTCCTGGACCTGCAGGCCTGCTACCCTGCTCTGGGAGCACTGGCCCCCCAACAGCCTGGTCCACTAGCAGCGCCCCTGGCAGGAAGCTTGTCTACCCTGGCCCTCTGACCACAGATTGTGATAATCTGGGTCCCAAGGGCAGGGGTCAAATCCAAGTCTCTGCTGCCCACAGAGGCCACACAGGCATGGGAACCAAATCAATGCACAGATCATGAACACAGCAGTGCCGGCCCTGCAACGTCCATCCTGCTGCGTTGTGCGTGCGTGTGTGACGCCAAGGGAGATGGGACGGGACACCTGTGCTGCACGATGGGGCCAGGCCAGGCTGTGGGCAGGGCACCGGGACGGTGAGACCGACCTGCCAGTCCCACACGGACAACAGACTCAAGAAACTGCTTTCTTCCCACTGGACAGGAAGGTGTAGTGTGCAGGAGTCTGCTCTGCCCAGCGCCCGGCCCCGCTCTCCCCAAGGGCTGCTCACTAACAGGTGTTCTCGGGAGGGAGGCAGGGGTGCGGGGACCACCCTGCCCACGACAGACAACTCCACCCTAAGGGAAACCTAAGCGAAAGCAGAAGGCCAGGAGGCAGGAGGGACCACTGGGCCTCGGCCCTGCCGCCCTGCCCAGGGGCTCACCTGCGGGGTTGTAGAACACACCGTCTGGGTTGATGGCGGCCTCGTAGGGGGGCGGCGGGTCATCGGGCTGGCCAGTGTCCGGGCACTTGTACGCAGTGTAGGGCGGGGGAGGGTCGTGGAAGTGGAAGGCCCCACCCTCACCGTCATCAGAGAGGTGCAGCGGTGTGAGGCCCGTGCCGAACCCATCGGGGCCGTAATCGAAGCCAGGGATCCTGCGGCCGAGGTTGAAGTGGTGCACTGGGCAACAGGAGGGAGACACAGAGCTAGTCACTCCTGCACCGCACTCGCCACATCCCCACGGCCACCTGCCCGCCACACCCAGAGCACGACTCACCCTCTCTACCCTCCTCCACCACCACTGGCGCCCATCAGCGTGCTGCAGGCCTCGGCCCCCGCGCTCTGTGGTCTGGGTCTCACCCATGACCGCTGTGGTGAGCTGCCCACTGATGTGGGGCCTTCAGACCTAGCACCGTGGTTCTGAGCCCCCACCCACTCCCCAGGGACTGGGGAGCCTCAGCTTGCTCACGGAGCCGGGGGCTCTGGAAGCTCCATGGAGGCGCAGCTGCTGCAGAGAACCAGGGCTGAGGAGAGCACTGCTGTCTTCACCGGGCAAGTCACCCAGCCGGCAGGTGCCCACTCTCCCTGGGGGAAGGGCCGGGAGCCCCAGAATGCAGGGGCCTGGGCACTCACGGTTCGCTCCAATCAGGGACTCGATGCGCTCACGGCGCCTCTGGCGCAGCCGGTGGACCATGAAGAGCAGCAGTGACAGGATGAGGAAGGAGGAGACGCAGCTCACAATGAGACGCATCCCGCTGGCCATGGAGTCCAACAGGCTGCTGCCGTCTGCGCGGGAGGAGGAAACGCTGCTCTGTAGGGGGAGCATCAGCCCCCGGGCTCCCACCAAGACGCCAGCCGTGGCCCGGCCCACCTCTGCTGGCCAGGGCGATAGGAAGGAGCCGCAAAGCCTCTCGCTCTGCCCGTCCAGGGGTGGGTGCCTGCCCCACCCCGCCCTCCACCCACCCCTCTGAGGCTGGGCCTGGAACCCCTCAAAGGGTTGCACAGGGAGCCCAACAGGACTGCGCCTCTGGCTGCCACATCTAGTTCTTCCCTGACTTCTTGCCACAGCCCCATAAGGAAGGAGAAACATCTCTCGTGCAGAACTGAGGTCAGCGGGGCCAGGTCAGTGGCTTGAGTTCAGTCCTAGGCTCCAGTCCCACTGGCGGGGCGCAGAGCTCTCTGCCCCGCCCTGCACCCAGCAGAGCTCGTGTGTGGACGCGCAGGTGGTCCCAGGAGGTGAGGACACGGCCTTCGTGGGCCCCAGAGTCTGTTTACAGCCCCACCCGCCCCTCGGCAGTTCTAATTTCTGACCCTCCCACACCCACTTCATCCTCTGCTGGTGGGGAGATCGGGGGCACAGAGTGTGCCCAGCACCGCCGAGGGCTGGGCAGCACTCCCGGTCTCCCAGGATGGAGGGGAGCGATGCTAGGGGTACCTACTCACACAGGCCCCACTCACTCTGCTCCACAGCCCCCACCGGAGCAGGGCAGGGCAGGGAACCTGCAGCAGCTTGGGGAGAGGGCTGGAGTCGGCCTGCACCCGACACTTTGGGCAAGGGCAGTGGGCATGCAGACCTCACCCTCCAGCCCAGCCTTCCCATGTCTTGAGCTGGTGGAGGCCACAGCCAGAGGGCACTCTGTCTTGGACCCTGTGTCCTGATCACACGTGTCCAGGTTCTCACCAGGGGCAACTGCACCCCCAGGGACCTGCGCGATGGCTGGTAACACGTCAAATTGTCCCCAACGACGTGGGCGGTGGAGACACCTCTGGCATTGGGTGCAGTGGCCAGGGACGCAGCTCAGCACTGTGCCAGACACCAGACAGCCCCCGCCCTGGTCTGGCCTGCCCTGCCCAGCACACCAGCTTGCTGGGCACTTCCTCCGGCGCTCCCAAGATGGTGCAGGCAGGACGAGGCGCAAAGGAAGAAAACCCTGCTGGGCAATTCCACGGGCTCTCACCTATGTGAGGTGGCCTCTCCCACCGAGTCACCGGATCGGAGCCAGGAGGTGGTCCTGGGAACACCTGACTCCAGACCTGGGGAGGAGGGACTGGGGCCGTGGAGAGCAGGAACTGGGGCCGTGAAGAGCAGGAGGACTGAGTGTGGACTCCCACCCTTGGGACAGCTGCGCCTGTCCCGAGGAAACACTCCAACACAGGTGCTACCTGAGGGGCCAGAGTCCCAGCCTGCCCACTGCCAGGCTCACACATTCCCTCCTCCCACAGGGCTGAAAGCTTCCCCCAGGGCTGCATTTACTGCTGACAATGCTGGGGAAGTAACCGTGGAAAGGACACATCCTCCCACCAATCAGCTGCTGTTTCAACGCCTCTGACCTTCCAGTCTCAGGAACACTCAGTCCCCGTCGTGGGAGGAAGTCCATCAGTCCAGGGGGCTGCTGACACGTCTCGTAATTGGCTGCCAGCTCAGAAAACCCAGGGGGCGGGGAACACCTAAAGCAGCAGCCCCTTTGCAAAGACTAATTCTTAATCAGCTCTAAAAAATCCCAAAGACTCGATCAAGGTAACTGACCGTCCCTCTGTGGGGGTCACCAGGAGGAAGCACCTGCCATTAGACACAAAGAAGAGAGCACTGTCCCAGGAGCCGGAGCCAGAGCCAGCCAGGGGTTCCTGGGGGGCCCGCAACATGGTCGGCTCCTCCGCAGGGCTCCGGAGGTCCCCCGTCAGCTGGTCAGAACCCTGCAGGAATGCGCCCAATACCAGTGGGTGCCGGGTACCCTGCGGGCTGGGGAGGCCTGAGTGCACTCCAGCTCCACGTCCCCGGGTGGTTCCACGCAAACACTGCCTCTGCCCTCATCACAGCCACAGGTTTGGGACACGTGCCAGAGCGCCCCAGCCCAGCCCTGGGGAGCAGGGATGGCTGTCGCCGAGGGGCCTTCACACACAGCCTCCAGCTCCGCTCCATGGGCCTAGGGTGGACACGGCCACCACGGCTGCCCAAGCTGCTCTGCAGGGGGTCCCCAAGCCCGGGGCTTCCACATATCCCTGCCCATGTTGCTCACATGCTCTTTCTCTGAGGTTGTGAATTCACATGGCGATGTCGCCTGCACTGTTGCAGGGTCCCTCTGCTCACAGCTGCAGAGCGGGGTCCCACCCACTGTTCTCTGATCGGAAGTGGAAGAAAGAGGGTCACCCAGGCCTCTCTGGTGCAGCCAGGGCACCTGTCAGGGCCTCACCCTGCCCTGCACTGCGGTCTTGCTTCTGTGGGACCCTGGGTCTGAACACTGTAAGGCAGCACAGAGTGGGGAGGAGTTTTATATCAAAATTGCAGATATTTAATCTTCTTAAAGAGTGTAACAATAAAGACTGAGGACAGCAGCAACACAAGTTGTCATCGCCCTGTGCGCCGCGCTCAGACACAGGAAAGCTCCAGTGGGCGAGGCCCAAGCTGGAGCCGGCCTGGGGTGACAGACGGGGGAGGCAGGCCCGTACCCGAGGCTGAGCCCTGCTCACCTGGGTCCAGGCACATGAACTTGCAGCACTCCTTGGGGTCCTTGCGGTACTGCTGGCAGCCCTGGGGCCGCTCGCACAGGGCAGCCACGCACATCTCGGGCTCCCCGCCGTGGCAGGTGCAGCTCAGGCAGGGGTCGTCCCCTTTGGGGGTGAAGTAGAAGCCTTCGTCCACCACATTGTCCTTGATGTCGACACATGTCTGACCTGCAGCAGGCACCCACACAGACGCACGTGTCACTGGCTGGAGGGGCCCCTACATCCCACCTGGCTGGGTGAGCATGATGCCCAGGGCCCGGGAAGGGGGACCTGGGTGCACCCCCATGCTGCAGGCCAGCCTGCAGCCGCAGGGAGGGGCTGGGAGAGGGGCGCTGGGCTCACTGTCGGGACAGTGCAGACCAAGAAGAGTGCCAGGTTCTGGGAGAAACCCTTGCTTTCAGGTGCCCAACACGTCATGTGTGAGTCTCTCAATCTAGGGGGCAGGCGCACAGCACCAGCCCTCTGGACGTCAGAACACATCTCGAACGAGCCTCCCAAGAAGCTGCTGGTTCTGCTCAGGGAGGCGGTGCCAGGACCTGAGACACTCGGTGAGGCCGTGCAGAGCCGACAGGGACAGCAGAGGAGGGCTGGCTGGGGCGAGACCCGAGACGGGGACACAGGCCCTCAAGTGGGAGAAGAGGGACAGAGGCGAGGACACAAGGGACGGGGTCCGCGCACAGGGACTGGCCAGCGCGCATGTGGGTGCTCACTTCTCTTGCACAGGAACGAGGACTTGTCGTGGCAGCTCTCGGCGCGCCAGCTATGCAGGTCGTGGTGGCGGAGAGTGGGGAAGTGGAAGCACTGCAGCTGTGCGCAGAACACGCCGTCACCCTCAGCCGCGGCCCCCGCAAACACTGGGTCTGGGGGCAGGAGCACCTCCGAAGAGCCTGTGGGGAGTAGCGGGTGTTACAGCGGAACATCGATGGGCAATGGGGAGGACCCACCTCTGGGGACCAAGGTCCTTGAGCTGGACCAAGAGCTCGCGGGCCACCAGGTGCCAGCAGGACTGCAGTCTGGCCCTCGTGCTGGCAGGGGCCCCGCACTACAGAGCTGGGAGGCGAGCATACTTCAACCTCAAGGAGACGGTCGAGAGACTGGAGGGGAAGCGCCCACAGCCCGTGAGGGCCGCAGAGCCCAACAGGAAGGAGAAAGAAGCCGCCTCCTCCCTGTCAGGACTCAACCGGCGAGAAGGCGTTTCCACCACCAGTGTCCAGGAGACCAGTGAGTCCAGGAGTGTCCACAGCGTCCTGAAGGCTGGCGCCTCTGCTGGGGTGAGGGGTCACCCCCAGCAGCTGGGACTGGGGCAGATGGAAAACTACCAGAAGTATCCTCCACAAGGCCCCCTGTGACTCAAGGGCCTGGAAACCCACAGCTTTTTTTGTCAGCCACTCCTGGGGGAGATCTGAATACATTCCCACTCTGAGAATGTGGATGAACGTCAGCGGGACGTTTGGGGGACTCGAAGGATGAGCTGACGTCCTGCCCAGGAGGGGCCAGTGTTGTGGCCCCTCTGCTCCCTGCCCCCTAGGAAAACCACTGCCCAGGGCCCTGACCCTTCTCAACACCCTTCCTGTCTGTGCCTTCACCCACCTCCCCGTGTGGAGACACAGCTGGGCACCTGCCACAAGGTCACCCAGGCTGGGAGACAGGGGAGCTCTGCCCATGTGACCTTCCTTTGCTCTCCGCCGTGAGGGGACAGAGGGAGCTGCCTGGGGTCCCCGGGCTCACAGTTCCTCCCTTGTCCTCAGAGACACTTCAGGATGTGTTTGGGGAAAAGAGCAGCCCCGAGCTCAAGCCAGAGACCCAAGGAGCAGCCCCTGGAGGGAAAGTCAGGGCAAGGGGAGAAACCTGCTGGAGCCAGGGTGGCAGGACAGGACGCAGGCCACGGGCCATGAGCAGGGACACAGCTGCCCACAACCGTCACGGCTCCTTACGTCACCAGGATACATTCCAGCAACTCAGCAGCAAATCCCTAAAGCAACACACATGCTACACATGCAGTCTGTTTTAATTCCACCTGCCTGGGGGTTCCGGCGTTTCAGACTCTCACTCTGACCTTCCCTGTCCTAAGAAGCCTGTCCCTCCCTCTCTGGCCCGTGTCCATGACCACAGCGCACTCTGCTCATTTTTATGCTCCAATTAAAGTCCGGACTTTGAAAGGACAGTGGGACCGTCTAGAAATGGCCCAGTGAGGAGCCACCATGGGTTCCAGAGGAGGCCAAGCCCCACCTGGGCCCGGGTAGAGGCCTGACTGAGGCTGGGCCAGGACACCCGCCATCACAGCCTCCCTGAGGTCTGGGGCCCAGTCGTCTCCATGGCCCCGCACTGGGCACCCCGATGGGCCAGGCAGTGGCAGGAGGAGTGGGAGGGGAGATCCCAGGATGACATGCCCCAGGTTCCAGCTCATAACTCTTCTGGAAGACCAGGAAGCCTCACCTTTGAAGGCCACCTCCCAGCGACCTTCTAGAGAGCGGTTCCGGCCCGTGATGACGTACTGGTAGCCGACCCACAACCTGCAGGGGCAGAATCGGAGGAGACCTCAGGGCGACAGCAGGAAGCAGCCAATGGCCTCTGAGTGTGCACGGCTTACCAGTTACACTGACCTCTGAAACACTGAACCTCTAAGGCACTAACTTTTTAAAGTTTTGATAATTTTAATAAAATGCATTACAATTCTAAACAATAAATTCACGGGTCAGAGACAGCTTTTATCGCAGGTAAGTCCTGCCAAAGACTGTCCTTATCAGCTGCTCTTATAAAGCTTGTGCTTTCTAAGCAAAATCAAGCAAATTCCTGGTGGACACAGAGCCCTGTGAACTCACTAAAACCACAGCTCAGTGTGCTCCGAATGGGTGTGTGGTAAGGCCGGGAATTACATCTCAATGAGAGATCCCCTCCATGAGCACACACCCCCGGAGCTGGCCCTCTGGCTCGGAGCCCGCTCGCCCAGGCCAGGGCACTGAGAGGCTGCGCTGGCCCGTTTCCGCACTTCCTCTTTGACACTCCAGAGCCCTGGGGCAGAGCCAGGCTCCAGAGCCAGACTGCCCACACTGGAAGCTGGCACACCACAGCTGGTACACATTCTGGTCACCCACCCCGGGCCCCTGTGGTTTCTGGGGGTGCTGAACGAGCGGGCCTATGGAAGGCACTGAACACAGGGCCTGGCGAAGCCTCCTTTCCTGGGGATCCTCTGCCTACCTGCAAGGCCCGCGAGCCAGGCCAATGAAGCCCCACAAGGAGCAGCCCCTCCTGACACAGGCCCAGCCCCTGGTAGCTGCAGTGGGACCCAGAGGGGACCAACGAGGAGGACTGGGCACGTGACATAGGGTGCAGCCCATCCCGGGCCCTCCAAGAGCCCCCTACGCCATCATGACATCCACTCTCAACCCCTATCTCCATCTACTTCCAGGGGGCAGGGTTGCTAGCTCCGCCTTGGGCGGGACTGCCGTGGGTGGCCAGTGGCCGTGCGCTGGCGGCAACCGTGCCTGGCAGGTCCTGGGCCCTGCCCCAGACTCACTTGTGCTGGTCCTGCCACGCAAAGCTCCGCTCGGGCTGGTCCCATTCCTGGGCCAGGACGAAGCGCAGCTCCTGGTCGGTGGAGAAGGTGGCAAGGGACCCGTTCACACGTTGGCAGGTCTGCGCTGCATCCCAGTAGTTCTCCCCGCTCAGGTAGACGCGGTAGCAGCTGGCCGTGCCCTCGTAGTGGTGCCACCCTGTCGGGCACTTCCCTAGGAAACATGAAGGACGGAGGGGGTGTCCCCAAGTCAGGATCGTCGCTGCAGAGGTGACTCTGCATCAAGCAGCTCAGAAAGCACCAGAAAGGGAAACAGGCTTGGGAGGGGAGCTCTGCCTGTAAGGCCACAAGCCTCCCGCTTCTACGAGGCCCTAGTGGACAGAAAAGACCAGACGCTAAGTTCACTCAGCAAAGCGGATTCGCCCCACTTAAGGCCAGCTGAGTGCGGGGCTGGGGGTGAGCATCCCAGGATCGTTGTCCCACCCAAGCAGGTCTCCTCAGGACGGGGGTCTCCGCGGTGGTTCTTCTGCTTTTAGATTTTCTGTAATCTCATTTTGCTTCTTTAAGATCTTAATGTCACAGTGTTTATTAAATACGTAGTTATTAAAACTTTTTAAGAACAGAGGCAGAGCTGCTTCTCCGTCTACCAAAGGGCGAGTACAGCCCAGCCCTGGGAAAATGAGCAGCCTGATTCCAGAGCCTGGTTCAGGTTGGCTTCCCCACTTGGGGCTGGGGGGCCTCACTTATCAAAGGAGGCCCTGGGATCTGCTTAGGGGTCTGGCACAGCCAAGGGCCACGAGACAGCCCAGGGCCACGTGGGGTGGTGAGCCCTGGACCACAACAGGGCAGGTCTGCAACTTACTGCTGAAGCGGACGGGCTGAGCCACGTTCATGGCGTGGAAGTGGGAAGTAGGGCCGCTGCCTCGAGCCCGCCCCTGCCTCGGGTCCACAGCCTCCTTCCCATGGTAAGGACGCGACTCCCCGGTCACTTCTGAAAGCAGGAAAAGAGTGGCTGTAAACCCTGCTCCTCCAGGGGGAGGCACCAAAGAGAACCGCGGTGCAGCCAGATGGCTGGGGGCAGGAGGGCCGGGACAGCAGCCCAGGCCCCACTTACTCAGGTTTTCTTTCGACAGCTCTTTAAAAAAACATGCCATTCACGTCAAATGGGTCTCATGCACTCCTTACTGAGATTATGCCTAGGCAGTCTTCATTTTTTATTACGACTATGAGATGAGGTCTCTCAGCTGCATTTTCTAACAGACTCCTATGGGCATGGCACAGGGTCAGCGGTCCAGCAGCAGCTCTGGCCCCAGGGGGGTTCTCGGCAGAGCCCAGGCTGCTCCCCCCACTGCCCAGGAGCCTCCCCTGTGCAGCCCTTACTGCCTGCTGGTCCCTCTTACAGCTCAAGGCCAAGGCCTCCGTGTGTCTGCCTGCCCCTCCCATCCTCCATCACCACAGCCTCCCCACTCTGCTTGCAGAGGGGCACCTGAGTGCATGGTGGAGGACACCAGGTACAAGGTCAGGACAGGTGACAAACCTGGTCTGCAGGACTGCAGACACCCGCAAGCAGCTCAGTCTGCCTGCAGCTGGATGCAGGGCTCAGCAACCTCAGGGCGGGGCAAGAGTGGCACGGTGGGGGCGTGTCATGGGTGTTGTGGGCGTGTCCATGGGGGCGTGTCCGTGGGGCGTGGCAGGGGCGGCCTCCGCAAACCCTCCCTGACTGCGCGGGCCCCTACCTGCCCACCTGACCAACACTTCCGCAGTGTCTGGTTCCGCTAATGTCATGGATTCTCACATTGTTTCTGTTTACTAAATCATCTTTATTTTTGTCTCATTATAGAACAACAAATAAGCAACATAAGATACTGGGGAAATACAAAATTTTGACAAGACAAAGCAGACTGCTGCTACACCAGGGTCTGCAGCTGGTCCCATCTCTTCTACACAAACCCTTAAAACATCAGAGTCTTCCAGCTCGACTTCAAACACAGTTTCATGGTTTGCTTCGTACGCTCACAGCTATAATCAGCTTCCCATGTTCTTGAACGAGTGAAGAGCACTTTCACAGTGTGAATGCATTTCTTCACCACAGTCCCCACGGTTCTGCCTGAGCCGCTGCACGTGGTCCTCCTGAGACCTCAGCAGAGATCCTCCATACCTCCACTGCTCCCCGACCCCAGGCCTGTGACAGGATCAGGGCCACCAGCTCCCACTCACTCAAAGACATAAATGTGCTACCGGCATCTGAGGGGAGACTGACGCCTAAAGGGGATGCATCTTCAAGGCCCGTGGCTCGAGCTGCCCTCTTCTGCTGGGGAGAGGTGGGGAGCGGGTGACCTTGGCTCCCTGGCACTGGGTGGCCCCCATGTGAGCACCCGGCCCTGCTCCCGGAGGAGACTGGCTGCTACAAAGCCCCTATCTCTGGTCCCCGGGGACAGCACGCAGAGGAGCAGGAAGACCCACGGCGGGAAGATGAGGGATGTGGGCCAGGATAATGAGGGACGTGGGCCAGGATAAGGAGGGAGGGGACGGAGGGCTTCCCGGCAGAGGGACAGCTTGGGAGAGGCTGAGGCGGGCAGGCCTGGGGCAAGCTTGCGCACAAGCTTGGGTGTGTCACTCGGCCTGAATCTCACATCTCCCTTCTGTCTGCTCAAACGAGCAAGACCTGTGGGTCTGCTCTGTGTCGTGGCCTCTTCCCAGACACAACACTGGGGACAGGACAGGCCCACCACTCCTAGAGAGATGGGAATCTGGGGCAGAGGGGAGAGCAAGGAAGAGCAGCTCTGCTGGCCCCGAGCACCTGGAGGCCAGGACGCTGCCTGCAGTGAGGCCATCTGCAGCCACGGGGAACACTGCGAGGACGCGACCGGGCAGGCTGGTGGTGGTGGAGGAAGCAACTTGGTGCTAAGCCGGCTTCTCTAAGGTTCAGGCGGCAACTCTGAGCCCTCCTCTGCCCACCATTTCTCTTCCCACCCCAAGCCCACATCCACAACCTCGTCACCATCATCCAGGCCCGTTACGTCTCATGGAAACCCACCAGGAGACATGGGCCTTCACAGCAAGAAGATACCAGACCAGGGCCCTTGGAGCGTCCAGGGGGCAGAAGCAAAAGATGAGGGGGGCTGTGGGGAGGCAGAACTCACTGTGCCAGCAGCCTGACAGCCCACTGAGGACCATGACAGGGAAGAGTTCCCCGAGCCCTGCAGACAGCTGGACCACAGCCCAGACACCCCAGGGCTGCTCCTACCTCCTACTTCAGGGCGTCAGGCACTGTCCTGGGCTCGTGGCAGCAAGTGACAGGCCCCGAGTGAGAGGTTGAGCCCCCCTCCACCCTCTACAGCTGGCCTTGGCCCTGTTCTATGTGGGACACACCATCAGGAGCATTTCTGTCCTCCTGTTTCACACCCACATGGATGACACGCACGGGACACATAGAGCAACTGCAAACGTAAAGTTGGTCCCTCCTGCTGCTCCTGGGTCCATGGACGACTGACACAAGTTCACACATGGGTGTTTTACCTTCTGCTACTGCGGACTGAAGCCCCCAGCCCCAGACACACTCTGGCTGTGGCTGCAGCAGGCTGGCCACTGGGGCTCCTCACCCCCAGTTAAGTCTTAGACACGCACATCACAGGGTGAGACAGAAAACCCCCCTCCCCTCCCCTCCCCCAGCCCCCTGCTCCTAATCCCGTTTCCCACAGAAAATTCTTCCGATCATTTTAAATTTATTTTATTCTTTCTTCGTCTTCTGGTAGTTTTTTTTAAGTTACTGTTTCTTCTGATAGTCCCATCTGTATTCCCAAATAATACGTTTACCCAGCTATTTCGAGTGTTATCAGTTTTAAATGTCACCCACTGACACAGAGTCAGGCAGGTGCACAGAGCTCACACACACTCTCACCTTCCCAACGGAGTGGAATCAATTTCAGAATTCAAGTCAGTAAAATAACATAATAATATAAGTACTCAGCACTTGGGAGCCACACTGCATACTAAGGTTATTTTGATTCTCTAAACAATTCTCTTTTTTTCCTGGAGTTAATGTTTGCATTGATTTTAAAATTTACTTAGTTTTGTACGTCAACCACTACTTTTTTGAGCAGCTACAGCAGATAATCAAGGCTAACAGTGAACATTTTAAACACTCAAAACACTGCATCAGAGTCTTCCAGCTCGACTTTGTTTCCTGAAGCGCCAGGCCACCTTCTTTCTTGCTTAACTCTGTACTTTTACAAGATCACATCCTTCTAAGGAAGGCTAGGGCAACTGTTATGAGTCTGCTCACATCTGAAAACTTCTTTATTTTATCCTCATGTATGATTGGTTTCTCTGGGTATAAAAATCCCAGATTAAAAGCATTTTTGAAGTTTCTGGTTAAAGATATCAGATTGAATAAACATACTGATTCGCCTCTAGTCTCTCCTGAAACCCAGTGACACAGAAATGGGATTTTAAAAAGGCATAGTCACGAGGACAAGAAGAACAGCAAAAAGAATGAAAAACGAAAACCTGGGAACCAGAAGGACAAGTGATGATGAAGGTGGAGGGGCGACCACACCCCGTGAACGCCTGCTTCTGCCGCCGCCCTGGCGCCCCACCCGGGCTAGCATTTGTCAGTCTCAAAACTGTCTTCTGTTAGAAGCAATCACTCAGAGTGGGCCGCAAAGGTAAACCGTAGGCTAGACTAGGAAAGTGAAGTAGAAGACGTGAAAGCCTCAGACGCTGACCCTCAGACCCAGCAGCCCGACGTGTGAGAGCAGGAATTCGCACTGACGGCAGATGCCTTTCCAAAAAAGCCCCCAACCCCACGTGTGCACAAGGCACACTTACTGGGACATCGTCTTTAACAGCAAACCAATGAGAGAGACCTAGAGGTCCACACGCAGGAGACGGAGACGGGTTGCACAAAGTACAGCCCGCCCCTCAGGCGGAGGGCACCGCAGCAGTTAAGGAACGACTTTATGAATTAATGCAGAGAGATTTGAAGGATACTTTGAATTAAAAAGAAAATAATCACAGTGCAAAGATCATACACAGGAAGACACTTCTTAATGTAAGGGGCAAAGAAAAAGAAAGAGGAGGAAGTAAAATACACATACATTTGTTTATTTTTGTAATAAAACCCCCTCAAACTCAGTAAAGATAAGCCAGACACCAATCCAGTCAGCAGCCTACTGAACGTGAAGGGGACAGAACTTCTAAGTGTGTGCTTTTGTACAGTTTATACTTTTGAATCTTGCTAATGTTTTACATATTCTAAAAATAAATCAGATACACAATCTCATGGATTCACTAAAACCCATGAAATTGTATCCTTTAAAGGAGTAACTTATATGGTACATGATTTATATCTCAAATTAAAATAAATTAAATCAATAAGATGAGGAGGCAAAGTCCTAAAAGTGAAATGCAAACACTCAGATATTAATGAATACACAAGAAAAGTAAGACTGAACCCAGGGACTTCTTTTTTTTAAATACAGAGACTAAAAACTTATTGTTTAGAAAGCCTTTTATCACTTTAAAATTGTAATGTACTGTCTAAAATTTATTCTCTTAGGATTAAATACTGACCTCCCACATTTAGGGTTAGAGCTCATTTGAGATCATCCTTGTGAACAAGTCACCCGAGAAAAGTGGGACTGAGCCCAGGGACTTCTGGCTGGAGAGCTGCCTGCATCCTCAGCAGGACACAGTCCAGCACTGCCAGGACTGCAGAGAAATCCCAGACTCAGCTGGCAGGTCCATTCCTGGTAGGGAGACAGGAGCAGAATCTCTCGGACGCTCGCCTGTGTGTTCTGGCATCGGCCCAGCGCGTACAGATCTGGAGGGCGCTGGGAACCAGGGTTCTTACTTGGGAGCGGGTACAGACACGAGCTGTGAGGAGGGGAGGGGGAAATCTAGCGCATGTCAGAGTCGGAGGAATCAGCAAACAGGAACTTCTGACTAAAAAGAGGGTTTCCCACTCTGTGCTCTGATGGAGCCCGGAAG